CGCCGCGCGCGCCGCGCGCGCGCCGCCGCGCGCGCCGCCGCGGCGGCGGCCTGCTGCGGAGGCGCCGGCCGCGCTCGCGGCCGCGGCCCGCGAGGGCGGCGCGCGCCGCGGCGCGCGCGGCGCGCGCGCGGCGCGCGCGCGGCGCACGGCGCGGCGCGGCGCCGCACGGCGCTGCGCATCGCGGCGGCGGCGCGGCCGGTGGCGCCGCCAGGGGCAGCATGGCCGCCAGGGGCGGGCTCGGTGGCTCACAGGTGGGGTCCTGAGGGGTGGGGTCTTAAGGACGTGGTGCCTCAAACAATGTAAACAGACCCTGGACCCCTGTCTTGCGTGGCGCGCACAAGGGGGTGGGGGGAGGGGGGAGGGCTTCTCAGAAGGAGGCTGCCTCTCAGAAGGCGCCCGCCTCACATCTGTAGACCAGGCCCGCGCCTTCTGGGAAGCAGGGGTGCTTCTAAGAAGCTCTCCCCCCGCCCCCTGCTGCGCGTGGCTGATTTTTATCTCCAGGACCCCATCTCTCAGGACCCCATCTTTGAGCCACCGGCGCCGGGGGGCGGGCGGCCTCGATCACTCGGCGCCGGCGAGGGACGAGGCGGCCTCGCTTCGGGCCGCGCCTATATGGCCGCGGCGCCGAGGGGGGGGGGCGCGCCCAGCGCCCTGCGGGGGGGCAGCGTCGTCGTCGGCGCCGCCACCGTGGCCCGCCGTCGATGCTCGGGCTTAAACCCTCGTCGCAGCGGACTCCTGTCCTTGGGTGCGATCTGGCCATCTGGCAAACACTTCGCAGCGACTCCAAGCGTGCCCGCGAGGGCACCCTGAAAAAACGCTGGAGCACAGAGACGTCAACGCCGTCGCCGCCGCCGTTGATGGCCGCCAGTGCTCGAACCTCGAGCCTCGATTCTGGAATTGTTCCTGCGGCCTGACCAAACAATTCGAGCCGAATCCGCGAGGACTCGCGAGAACCTCCCAAACTAGCGGCCTGCCAGATGCGGTCCGAGTGGATAGGGTCGGAAGATCGCGCCGCGTCGGCGACGTTGGCGGTGCATCGGCGACGCGAGCGTGGAAGAGATCGGGCTCGGTCCGCATCGAGCCGCACCAGAAGTGCATTGGCGATACGGCGCGATGCTCCGACCCCATCTGCTCAGACCCCACTTGGGAGGCCTGGGCAAACTGGCCGACGACGAAGGACGACGACCGCAACGAGAAGCAGCTGCAGGATGAGGAACGGAGACTCGCCGAGAAACCCGCAGCAAGACCGAGGCCGAGGAGGCCGATGACAGGACGGTTCCTCGTCGAGGGAGCCTCCTGAAAAGCAATAAACATACCCCTGACCCTTTGGGAGGGGCCCTAAGTTAGGAGGGCCAAAAACATTAGGGATATGGGGTCTTCTCTGCAGATGTGTCAAACCAAGTCGCCCAACTGCATTATCCCGAATGCGAAGACGGTGATCTAACAGAGGCCACGTCTTCGTCGTGCTACTAGGGTCAGGCGTTATGTTGCTCCTGATGACCTCTGGCAGAAATCACAGAGCCCACGCCAAAGCAAACCGAAAGTGAGCCGACACATCTGAGGGGGACCTCCGACGGCTCCTCCCAGATCGGGTGAACATCTACACTTAAGTCGGGCCTGTCCTCCTACAGGGGGATTTCGGACGAGAAATAAGAGGTACTCAAACAATATCCCCCCCAATGGACAAACATAGAAAAAAACATCGTCCCCAGACTTGTTTCTTATACTACCTCTGAATGTTCCTCCTGTAGAGGGACAGGCCCGACCTAAATCTACACCCGAACATCAGCCCGAAACCAGCCCACGAACCTCTGCAACGCTCCACGACGAGCGACGACGACCTTCGGGGGCGTCCACGAGGAGGGCTCGCAAGTCATGGCCCGAAGCATGTGCGCAGACGAGGGGGGACCAACGGACCTCCTGAAAGAAGCAGAGGATGTCACACAATCCGAGGAGATTGAAGGGGAACTGGGACACACAAATAAATAGACACAAATAACCAGATTCCCCATATTTTTTCATATTTTCTGGATTGTTGTCTTCCCCCCCACTTCCCAATTTTCCCATATTTTCCTTGGGATCGACGATTAATTGTGTCTGTGTTTTTTCCTCCTGAGAGATGTCGTTGCCCTGGCTATGATACCCCCCCCCCGGGTCATCGCCTCTCTAGCAGCCGCCGCCGAGGCAGCAACCGAACACTATAAACAAAACCACAACCTCCGCAGTGGCCACGACGAACCGGCGCGCCCGAAGCGGGCACGAGAAAAACCACCGCGTCCCCGCCGCGGGGCGGGAGATCGGCCTCTCGAGGCGGACGGCGCCCGCGGCGACGCCGACAGCGCGTCTGGCTCAAAATGGGCCACAGCTTCTGTCGCAGAGGCGCAACACGTCCGAGCCTTTAACTTTCGGAGGTCCGCGCGGGCTTCTCAGATCGGCGCTGCATCACCCTCCCTGCCGCGCGGAGCGCGCCGAGGGCGGCGCCAGAGGAGCCGCCGGGGGGGCCAATGCACAGCGCACATCCCAAGAATCCGCGCGAAACTCTGAACGTTTACCCGCTGGTCGGAATAAGTAGGTAGAACCATGGAGTAGGAAGGCGGTGAAAGTACCTAGGGTTTCCGCCCACCCCCTGAAGAGGAGGGAAGAAGGATAACCATTCTACTCTTGAAATAAGAAGGCGGCTAAAGCAGATTGGGATCGCCGAGTCCCCAAAAGCATACTTGCAACGACCGACGGGTATGGCGTTTGCTATTATTCGGTGTGTGTCGTCAGGGCGTGGGAAGGCCACGACGACACTTTGCGGGCGGGGCGCGGCCAGCGAAAGCGGCCAAGGAGGGGCCGAAGGGGAAGTATGCAAGGGCAACCTTGGAAAGTCACTCGTCCTTACTGTGCCCGTTGACTGCAAATCTTCTCCGAAGATGCTGACGGTTTCTGGGAAGGTGCGAGGGCTTCTAGGAAGCCCACGCCGCCTTCTGAGAAGGCCTGCTCCCTCTCGCTGCCCCCCTGGGCTCGCCTCCGATCCGTTCTTCCCGTGCCGATGTAGATCACACCGAACGAACGACGCTTCTCATCCGTATTGTGTATGCGTCATCTCGGAGCAGGGCGAATTGAGACGACGGCAACTAAATATGTGTCCCTGGACCCTCCCGGGGTCCAGACGCACCCGCTTTTCCGAGCTGCGTCCAACCGTGGCCAAGCAGGACCCCCCTGAGGCCAACTACCGCTATCTCAACTCGGCCTCCTCTAATCATCGTCTCACTTGTTTCCGTGCCAATCTCGATCGTACCGGACGAACGACGGCGACCTGACACCTCCAGACCTCCCTTGGCGAGGCGCAAATGCCAGAAAGAACCGCGAGGCTGGAAAACCTCCGTGAGCGAGTGAGCGTCAAACTTGCCCCTGGGCGCGCCGAGGCTCAAAGGGCTGAAGACCTCCGGGATCCCACGGCAGCGCAGGAAGACGTCGGACTTCCCGCCCGGCCTGCCACCGCTCGGACCTCCATTCCCTGAGCTTTTTGTGGATTCGGGCTCTCCGCAAGATGATCCAGGGTGCTCCCCGATGGTCCTCGCAGAGGAAGGGAACCATATGCGATGTCCGGATTTTTCCGGAACGCGGTTCCTGGAAGTTCTTACCCTTGGCGGCGCGCACAGTGGGGTACACAGGGGGACGGGGGGGGGACTTCTCTGAGAAGGAGGCTGCTTCTGAGAAGGCGCCCGCCGTACATCTGCAGACGAGGCCCGCGCCTCCTCAGAAGCAGAGGGGGGCTCCTCCGAGGCTCTCCCACTTCCCCTCTGCACCCCTCTTCGGCTGCACGCAAAGAGTGGCCCTGGGTAAGAGTGACCTCTGGTGCGCGACTTTCTGGGGGCCGCGGGGGGGCCAAACCCAGGCGAGCAAGCAGCTGCGACTGTTTCGTTTTCAGCCATCTGGGGACCCATCTGCGCCCGCACCAAAGGTCACTCCGGCGAAAGGTCACTCTTACGTCCGTCTTAGGCCTGGGAGTTAAGTCGGGCCTGTCCCTCCACAGGGTGATTTTGGACGAAAAACTAAAGAGATCCCCCGAACATTCACCCAAAATGCCCAACAATAGTCCAACAGTAGTCCTCAGGCTATGTTTTGACTACTCGTACGTCTAGTCGACCTCTGCGCGCGGCCGAGGCTCTCTCCGCACACGGCCAAACACCTCCCGCCCCCGTTTGCCCCAACGACGCGCGCAGGGTCTGGGGCGGGCCCCCAGGGCTCCCAAGACAGGAGGGGTACAATGCCATGGGCGTGAGAACACGTCCGCAGCCGCTGCCTCGCAGGCCAAGCCCCTGGGCCGCGACCCCGCGGACACGGGGCGTTCTTGCGCGGATGCCCCGCGCGGGACGTGTCCGTGTGACCTCGTTCGACTACACGCAAGAGTGACCCTGGGTAAGAGTGACCTTTGGTGCGCGGCTTTTTGGAGGCCGCGGGGAGACCAAACCTGGGCGCGCAAGCCGGTGCTACCGCTTCGTTTTCAGCCATCTGAAGGCCCATGTCGACTGAGAAGAAAACCAATGTTCTTATAACATCAGCCCAATGTGTTAATACAAGACCATCTCAAGTAGAACTGTTCTAACATTTCGTGGAAACCACAAACGGTTCTTAGAACATAGGCGAGCCAGGACGCTTCGCCACTGCTTGAACATCCGCATCCGCTGCCTCGCAGGCCAAGCCCCTGGGCCGCGACCCCGCGGACACGGGGCGTTTTTGCGCGGATGCCCCGCGCGGGACGTGTCCGTGTGACCTCGTTCGACTACACGCAAGAGTGACCCTGGGTAAGAGTGACCTTTGGTGCGCGGCTTTTTGGGGGCCGCGGGGAGACCAAACCTGGGCGTGCAAGCCGGTGCTACCGCTTCGTTTTCAGCCATCTGAAGGCCCATGTCGACTGAGAAGAAAACCAATGTTCTTATAACATCAGCCCAATGTGTTAATACAAGACCATCTCAACTAGAACTGTTCTAACATTTCGTGGAAACCACAAACGGTTCTTAGAACATAGGCGAGCCAAGACGCTTCGCCACTGCTTGAACATCCGCATCCGCTGCCTCGCAGGCCAAGCCCCTGGGCCGCGACCCCGCGGACACGGGGCGTTTTTGCGCGGATGCCCCGCGCGGGACGTGTCCGTGTGACCTCGTTCGACTACACGCAAGAGTGACCCTGGGTAAGAGTGACCTTTGGTGCGCGGCTTTTTGGGGGCCGCGGGGAGACCAAACCTGGGCGCGCAAGCCGCTGCTACCGCTTCGTTTTGAGCCATTTGAAGGCCCATGTCGACTGAGAAGAAAACCAATGTTCTTAGAACGTCAGCCCAATGTGTTAAAACAAAACAATATCAACTAGAAACGTTCTAAGAACATTTCGTGGAAACCACAAAATGTTTGTTTTTTTTTCGCTCAAACAGAATATGATTAATTCCAGTGAAGTGAGAACCACCGGGCCCATCTTCACAATTCGGGCAATCGGGCTGGCGAGGGAATTGTCGCAGCGCTCACGGCAGATCGCCCGCCTCGTCCCTGTCGCCAGCGGCCGCCGCCCACCGCCGCTGGAAGCCGTCCAACTCCACCTTCTTCTCCACCGTCGCCAGGTCCATGAGGCGGAAGATTTCGTTGAGGTAGCGCCAGGATGGCTCCGCACTGGGATGGTACCCGTCCTTCAGCCACAGGGACGGATCGTCGGCCCCGCGCTCCTGGATAAGATCGTCCATTATCTGGCTGTAGTCGATCACCTCGTACTTGCCATATAGCTTGCCGTCCTTGATGTGCTTCCTCAGCTCCCTCTGCATCATGCGGATTCCATCATTCGAGATTGCCGCCACATCCTTGTATTCGTGTCCTGTGTCATCAACGACCCACTTTGTCTTGTACACTGCGGGCGCAGTCCTGAAGACGATGCGGCTCTCGTCGTACGCCTCGGACACGCGAGCCAATTCATTCTTCAGATCATGCATGCCCCACTGGCGCAGCCGGGCTGCCGTCACGTTTCTCATGCCCCACGAGGCCCAGGTCGACAGGTCCCACAGGGAGCTGTCCACCACGACCATGTCGGGGAACAGCTCTCCCACCATGCTCGAGGACCACTTGCGCAGGACCTTGTCGTCGGATATAGGCTGCCCTATGTTAGAGCCCCACTGGGTGCGGTTGTAAAAGGGCGGCTGCAGGTCACCGTTGATGCCCACCCCGGGGTGGAAGACGAAGCCGATGTTGAGCTGGCGCTCCTCGTCGTAGCACCCCACGCGGTAAAACCTGTCGACCTTGCCGCAGAAGCTCTCCACGGCGTTCCTGTCTACAGAGCATCCCAGGATGAGGACCGAATGATTGGAACCGCGGAGCTGGGTCAGGGCGCCCGTGTCGGCATGGAGCCCGCTCGCCACAGCGGCGCAGGCGCCCAAGCATCCCACGCGAATCATCGTCGCACGATCTGTAGAAGAGATTAGTCTCTGGACTCGAATCTATATAAAAATCACTGAGCCTTGAGCCAAACTGGCTACGGAAAAACCGCACAAGGTTCTTAGAACATTGTTTGGTAGGGCTATAGGCGAGCCAAGACGCTTCGCCACTGCTTGAACATCCGCATCCGCTGCCTCGCAGGCCAAGCCCCTGGGCCGAGACCCCGCGGACACGGGGCGTTTTTGCGCGGATGCCCCGCGCGGGACGTGTCCGTCTGACCTCGTTCGACTACACGCAAGAGTGACCCTGGGTAAGAGTGACCTTTGGTGCGCGGCTTTTTGGGGGCCGCGGAGAGACCAAACCTGGGCGCGCAAGCCGCTGTTACCGCTTCGTTTTCAGCCATCTGAGAGCACATGTCGACAGAGAACAAAAACGATGTTCTTAGAGCATGTGCCCGATGTGTTAAAGCAAAACAATATCAACCAGAAATGTTCTACGAACATGTCGTGGAAACCAAAACAGATTCTTGGAACATTGTTTGGTAGGGCTATAGGCGAGCCCGGACGCTTCGCCACTGCTTGAACATCCGCATCCGCTGCCTCGCAGGCCAGGCCCCTGGGCCGCGACCCCGCGGACACGGGGCGTTTTTGCGCGGATGCCCCGCGCGGGACGTATCCGTGTGACCTCGTACATGGTCGCTTCGTGCAGAAAAAACTCGGGATGAGAACCAGCCCCGGGGAAAAGGTCGGAACTTCCAGGAACCGCGTATTGACACCTGGGGGGTTCTGGGGGCCTCAGGGGGCCCAAGGAGTCCCTATAGGAGCCCAGTCCAGGTCCAGCCGGGCAAACCGCTTCACCATCGGCCAGGCAAGCATCGGCGACGTCGGCGATGCATCGTCGACATCGGCGTGGAGAAAATCGAGCTCCGCATCGAGCAGCATCGCCGATGCATCGGCGATGCGGCGCGATCCTCCAACCACATCTACTCGGACCCCATCTGGGAGGCCTAGACTTAGGTCGGGCCTGTCCCCCTACAGGGAGATTTTCGACGAAAAATAGAAAATACCCCCAAATAATCAAAGCATAATCCAAAAATAGTATGGGGACTATTTTTCGAGCATTTGTTGACTCTTTTTTTTCCCTCGGAGGTCTTCCGGATTCCTTGACGTGCCGCTGGCAAATAGATGGACGTAATGCACGAAGCAACGCGCTGGAGGCGAAAAATTGCAATGCAGGATGGAGTGCTAGGGAAGTTCAAAGAATTCTATCATGCCGAATGTCGGTGGTGACGTGATCTTCCCAGCGTTGCCTCATCCAGTGGTCAACTAGCGCTCAAAGTCACAAGCGTGCTAAGTGGCTGGCAGCCTGAAGGCACGTAACGACTCGTCTTGCCGCGGCTAGTCGATGGAGAAAACAAAAATCCATGGCTGGCGGCACTGAGTTAAGAGAACTAACCCACACGCGGTAGCTGCAGTAGCTTTGCAGAGAGTAACCAGGCAACTGCGATGGTGCAGCATGGTGCAGAAGCGACTGGAAAACTGGGATATCGAGGGGGGAGCGAGAGAACGGCCATCTCCTGTGCCTTTGAGGAGCAGGCCTGCTGTAAGCCCGTCGACTCACCCATGACACTCTGAAGCATCGTCTTCGCGCGGGCAGAAGTTGAGCTACCCCGTTTCACTCTGAGTCGTCCCCGTTCAGATCGGCACCCTTACCTTCTCTCTTCCTCCACATGCTCGAGGCGACCGCGCCGACGGCGGCGCCGAAGCACAATCCGACGACCAGGGTCACGAGCGACAGAGCCGAGACCGGCGACCCCGCCTGCGTTCTCGGGGATGCGAGGAACGACGTGAAGCCGCTGTTGGCCTCGTGGATGCAGATGATGGTGCTGACCTTGCGCGCGCACTCGAAGGCACTCAAATTGCCCTTTCCCTCGCCGATGGGGCAACCTGGCTCGTAAGTCCCGGCTAGCACCCCGTAAGTGCTGCGATCTGAGCTGTAGCCAATCTGCACGCCGTTCTTCCACATCTGGGTGCTGCCGCCGCCGTCCAGATTGATCGCCTCGACGGCACCGAAGCTGATCATCTTGTCGGCCAACTCATTCATTGTCGCGCCCCAAGACGGGGCGCCCGTGTGACCATCATACTGGAGGAGGATGAGCCCACCATTCTTGTCCCAACCGATAGTGGTTCGCCCGGAGGTCATTTCTTTATACTCGTCCCCGCTCGAGCCCGCAGCGGTATAGGCCTCCTCCCACCCGGCATCCACGTTGTTTGATCCGTTACGCACGATCCAGCCCAGTCCACCCACCAAATGCTCGAAAATCCCAGTCTCTACGGTCTCTGGCGAAATGTAACCAATGACGAAGCTACCGTTCTTGAGGACTCCGAAATTCACGTTGGTGGTATTCATGGGCTCAGTGTAATGGATTTCGCCATCACTTACAACGTTGCCAATGCATTGGAACGTGTCGATCAAATTATAGTATCCAGCGTCCGTGGCCAAGATGCAGCTGGGATTGTACAACGCCGCCGTGTCTGGCACGTAGGCAATCGTTCCGCATCCGCCGGGAAGCGGGGGCACCACCGCCACGCGGCCGAGAGGGTTGGAGACCTTGACCAGATGCCCGTTCACGTGCGCATGGGAATCGTGGGTCTTCGAAGTGGACGATGTGAATGCTGTCTGCCAAATGGTCATGTCGATCTCCGAGCCGCCCGAAGCCATGGGCGCCGTGACCATGACTGTTTCCGTCGGAGGGCCTGCCCGGGCGCGCCAGGCGCAGGCGACCGCAAAGGCCACGGCCCGCATGCTGTCTGCTGGCCCCATGCAGGGGGCTCGGGGCCAGCGCTGGGCAACAGCGCTTCGCGGGAGAGGGGCCAGAGCCAGACTGGCTTGGGCCAAATATCGCTTGAGCCAAAATGGCTAGGGATGAGCATTTTCTGACTTCCTTGGTATTTTGGGGGTACTTCTTACTCTTCGTCCAACGGGGCCTCCGACGGCGGCTCGGGACGACCTGGGCACCTCCCAGGCAGCTCGTTGGTGAGGCGCATCCGCTGGAGCGCCTCCCGGGGCCGGAAGGCCGCCGCGGACCGACGAGGGCGCCCCAAAATCGCAGGCCTCGAGAGCCTCCCGAAGGGACCCTGCGCCACAGGAAGCCCTGAGCAGTGAGGTGCGACGAGCGAACGACGGTCGGGTGTTGCCGAAGCGCGCCTGGCCCAAGGCGCCCCCAGGATTTCCAAGCAGGCCCCCACGGCCTCCAACGCACCCCTCACAAGGCAAGGCTTAAATCGGGCGTGTCCCCCTACAGGGGAATTGACTAAAAATAAGAATACCCCAAACATACTCCAACACATTCAACACATGCTGAACAAACATCGTCCCCAGACTTTTTATTTGCTTTTGAATATTCCTCCTGAAGGGACACGTCCGACTTAAGGCAAGGCCCAGAGGGCCCAAGGGGCTCCAAGATTGAGCGAGAAGCTGGGGCCGCCGGTTGGCTCTGGGCAGGGGGGTCTTTCGCCATGGGGTCGCCACACACACATGCATTGGGTCGGGCGTGTCTCTCTACAGGGGGATTTCTGGACGAAAAATTAAAACATACCCCAAACATGTTCAAACATATTCAACAGCTGCTCAAAAATGGTCCCCAGACTATTTCTTGACTATCCTTGAATATTCCTCCTGTAGAGGGACAAGCCCGACTCAGTACATGCAACAGCTCACCCTGTGGCGCAAGGCGCGTGGCAGCCACGTGCCGACATTGCACGCAGTGCGCATGCCTCACGGACGATTGCACGAACGCTTGCGCACGTCTTCGACCCCCCTTTGCGAGGGACCCGATCGCCCGAAGCCAAACTTTGGACCAAGGTTACCCTCAGCATTCCCCCTTCTTCCCTCCCCCTCCTCCTCCTCCTCCTCCTCCTCCTCCTCCTCCTCCCCCTCCTCCCCCTCCTCCTCCTCCCTCCTCCTGCTCCTCCTCCTCCTCCTCCTCCTCCTCCTCCCTCCTCCTCCTCCTCCTCCTCCTCCTCCTCCTCCTCCTCCTCCTCCTCCTCCCCCTCCTCCTCCTCCTCCCCCTCCTCCCCCTCCCCCTCCTCCCCCTCCTCCGACGGCGACTCGACGGCCCCGCCCGTCCGACGCGCGCCGAGGCCGCCGACCGCAGCGGCGGAGCCCTCGGCGCCTCCGGCGGCGGTCGCGCCTCCCCTCTCAGCGGGGGGGCGGCCGCCTCGTCGCCGTGGCCGCTCGTCGTCGCCGTCGTCGTCGCCGCTCGCCGCTCGCCGCCGCCGTCGCCGTCGCCGCTCGCCGTCGTCATAGTCGCCGTGCCAGCCCGTCGCGTCGCCCATCGTCGCTCGCCGTCGCCGTCGCCGCCGCCGCCCTTGTGCTCGTCGTGATCGTCGTTGTCGCCGTGATCGTCGTCGTCGTCGCCACCGTCGTCGTCGTCGTCGTCGTCGAAGCATTCCCGTCGCCGTCGTCGACTCGTCGTCGTCGTCAGCGTCGATTCGCTGCCGTCGTCTTTTGTTGCCGTCGCGGCTGTCGCTGTCTGGGGCGCGTTCATGTCAGGATTTAGAAGCGAGCCCAGCCGCGACGATGAGGGAAGGGCAGCGATATCGGGCTCAGTCTCTCATGTTTCTCACGTTCCTCTTGCTCTTCCTCCTCTCCTCCATCCTCCTCCATCCTCCCCTTCCTCCTCGTCATCCTCCTCTTCTTGCTCCTCCTCTTCCTCCTCCTCCTCCTCCTCCTCCTCGTCCTCTTCCCCCTCCCCCTCCTCGTTCTACTCCTCTCCCTCACCGCCCCCCTTCTCCATTCCGCATCCTCATAAATAATTCCTTCCTGTCGCACCCCGAAACCTGTCGGAAGGGCCGGCTGGGCATTTTCATTGAGATTCCTCACCACGCATGATTCTGACATTGAAATTTGTAGCAATTTCACGGATGGAGGGCGGGTCCTTTTCAAAATGTGGCTCTCGCCACAGCGCCGCGCATACGCGTTTTAAGAGACTGTAATAGTTTCACGGATGGAGGGCGGGTCCTCTTCGAAACGTGGCTGTCGCTTCAGCGCCGCGCGCATTCGTCCAAACAGTTTGCAGTAGTTTCGCGGATGGAGGATCACTTCCTGTCAAAATGCGGCTCTCGCCCCAACGTCGCGCACATTCCCTGTAACAGTTTGCAGCAGTTTTTCTGGATGGGAGGCGGGTCGCCAGTTCAATCTGGCTCTCGCCTTCGCGCCGCGCGCATGTGTTAATTTAGAAGCTGTTTCAATGATAGAGGAGGGGCCGTTTTCAGGATGTGGCTGTCGCCGTAGCCCCACGCCGCGCACACCGAATGCAAAAGCTCGCAAGGCTTTCACGGATGGAAGGCGGCTCGTTTTCAAACTGCGGCTGTCGCCTCGGCGCCGCGCGCATTCGTCTGACACGCCTGCAACCATTCAGCGGACTCTTGGCGTCCCAGCAGTGGTGCCCGAATGCGGTTTAGGCATGTCAGGGCGCCACGGCCACGTTGGCTCGCGGCGTTGAGATTCATCAAAAAGTGGTGCTTAGGGACGACTGGGGATTCTCAAACGGTTGACTTCCAATGGGGCATTTCCAGCAGTGAGCATGAATTCTCGTAGGGACCTGTGAAGAGGGACCTTGAAGGGATGGCTCATTGCAACACCGTGGATGCGCCTTGGGGTTACACTCGTCCTCGTCCTCCTCCTCCTCCGCCTTCTCCTCCTCCCCATTCTCCTCCCCCTCCTCCTCCACTCCTCCTCCTCCTCCTCCTCCTCCTCCTCCTCCGCCTTCTCCTCCTCCGCCTTCTCCTCCTCGCCATTCTCCCCCCCCTCCCCCCACCTCCCGCGGAGGACATGGACGCGAGGAACGCGAAGTCCTCGAAGTCGGGGTCCTCCTCGGCGGGGGGGCGCGGAGCGCGGAGGCGCAAGAAGGGCGGGGATGGGTGGGAATCGGCACAGAGCGCGCGGCACGCGGGGAGCGACGGGAGGGGGGGAGAGAGGAGTTCGGGGAGGGAAGGGCGGGGGGGGGGAGGGACAAAGGAGGGAGTGAGTGAGCGAAGTGAGGGAGGGGGTGGGGCGGGGGCGACGGGGGGGGTGACGGGCTGGGGACAGGGAGATGGACACGGAGGTGGCCATACCGCAGAGATTGCAGAATTCGACCTCAACCCCGCTGAGAAGGCCCAGGTGCAAGTAGGCCTCGGAGACCCAGAGGACGAGGGCAGAGACACGAGCACACACGCCATGTATTTGCTTCGGCGAATCGGGGCATTGGCAAGCCGCGACGATGATCAAGACATGCGAACCAGCACTGCGCCCCCACCACAAGACAGCGATACCATACAGCTGCGTGATGCACGCCGCGCACCCAAACTATTACTGCTAGGACACCCCACTGCACAATCAGAGTTGGTATACCAAGAATTGACGAAGCAACCACCACCCCGAACATGAGATACCGATGGGCCTTTCCCGCCAGCCAAGGATGCCATGCCGTTGACGTAGGACCCGACCCGAAATCCACGCGCGAAACGGCAGCCCAAACGCGAGCCGCGATTGAATTGAAGTACGCCCTCGCTGAGTCGATGCGGGCGTCATTGGCCCCAGGCCTGCGTGCCGCCTCCCAAATCCCAGCCAGGGACGGAGCGAGAAACCGATGGGCATGAAGGACCATATCCATAAACCATACCGCGAAATCCAATAGTCGATAAACGCTCATCTCACTGCGCCAGCAACAAGTATAGACTATATGTTGTCGCTAAGGTACAGTCATGTGCAAGCTGCGCAGCTGGATCATTCGCCGAAGCTTCGTCTGGCCTGACCTGTACTGGTGCTACCACTGTCGTCGCGAACGTCCACGTGCCCGCCGCATCGAGATTGACGTACTGCTGGAGGGACGCAGCAGGGAGCGAGTCCGCGGTAGGTTGTAAGGTGTCTTGTTTCTGCAAATGCTCTTTCATGATATGCTGCGCCTTATGATCACGAGCGTGTTTCAGGTACTCTGCATAGACGCCCACATGCCCATGGAAACAAGGGAGGAAAGGAATGTGCGAGGGAATAGGGGGAGGAAGTACGGGGAAGAGGTGAGGGAGGATGCGGGAGGACGGTGATAGGGGGAGGAGGATTCGAGGACGATGTGGAGCAGTGGGGAGTTCCAGGAGTCTCCAAGGTAGTCCAGCGGTCCAGGAACTTCTCCAGCTCCCTCCTCCTCCAAGAAGCCCTCCCTGTCGCACCCCCAATCGCGTCAGTAGGACAGGCTGGGCGTGTCGTCGGACTTCCCCTCAATTTATGATCCTGAAGCTTGAAATTTGCAACAGCTTCAAGGAAAGCAAGCGGGACACCCTTCAAAATGTAACTCTCGCCTTAGCGCCGCGCACATTCGCCTTGAACGCTGGAGGTGGCGAAACCTCTGAAGCGCCCCCCACCAGGGCTACTGATAAGCTCACCCGACGTCCACTGACAAGCCCTCACGGGCCACTGACAAGCTTCCGGGGGTTCCACTGACAAGCCCCCGCGGGTCCATTGACAAGCCCTTGTGGGTCCTACTGACAAGCCCCCCGGGGAGCCAATGACAAAACCTCGGGGGGTCCACTGTGATGCCTCTGGGGTCCTCTGACAAACCCCCGCAGGTCCTACTGACAACCCCCCCCGAGGTTGCACTGACAAGCCTCGGGGGTCTACTGACAAGCCCACGGGGGTCCTACTGACGAGCCCCCGCGGGTCCACTAGCAAGCCCCAGGGGTCTTCGGGACTGGTCAGTGGCCAGGTGGGTGCTTGTCAGTAGGACAGACAATGGACGCGCGGGGGCTTGTCAGTAGGACCTGCGGGAGCTCGTCAGCAGGACCCCCGGGGGCTTGTCAGTAGGACCCCCGGGGCCTTGTCAGTAGGACCCGCGGGCTCGCGGTGGCTTGTCAGTGGACCCCCGTGGGCTTGTCAGTGGACCCACCTGGAGCTGGGGCTCAGCAGTGGACCCGCGGGGGCTTGTCAGTGGACGCACCTGGGGGCTTGTCAGAGCACCCCCCCCAGGCTTGTCAGTGGGCCCGCGGGATTTGTCATGGGAGGGGCTTGTCAGTGGCTTTTTGGCTTGGCCGGAATGAATGAAGCAGCAGATTATGAAGGGAGGGCCGTTTTCAGCATGTGGTGTTCGCCCTAGCGCCGCGCACGTTCGCCTGAAACACTGACGATCGTTCGAAGGATTCCCATGTGTTGAAGTCCCAGGAATGGTCTCTAGATGAGATTCAGGATTGTCAAGGCGCAACACTCATGTGATTCGCGGCTCTCGAGTCTCAAGAATGGTCCCTGGCACAATGGAGGAGTTCAGGTCCCAAGTGTTGAGGCGCGATTGAGGATCCTCAAACGGTCATCGTCCGATGGGGCACTTCCCGCAATGAAGACACAATACCTTGTGGGGACCTGTAAAGAGGGAACCTGGAGGGCAGGTGGATTGCAACATCGCTGATGCGCCTCAGGTTTACAACTGTCCTCCTCCTCCTCCTCCTCCTCCTCCTCCTCCTCCTCCTCCTCCTCCTCCTCCCACTCCCCCTCACCCCCTTCCCCTCCTCCTCCTCCTCCTCCTCCTCCTCCTCCTCCTCCTCCTCCTCCTCCTCCCACTCCTCCTCCTCCTCCTCCTCCTCCTCCTCCTTCCTCCTCCTCCTCCTCCTCCTCCTCCTCCTCCTCCTCCTCCCACTCCCCCTCACCCCCTTCCTCCTCCGCTTCAGTCCTCCTCCTTCCCGCTCTCTCCCCCTCCTCCCCCGTCCCTCCTCCCCCTCCTCGCAGTCGTCGGCGCGCGCTCTGGCCAGACCTCCGAGACGGACCCGGCCGCGGCGGCGCGGGCGCCGCAGGAGGACCCGGACGGCCCGAGAGCGCCCAGCAGGCTCGATCCTGGGAGGGCTGGGCGGGGCACGTCGTCGACGTCGCCGCGGGCGAGTCGGCCAGGCGCACGGAACACGTCGTCGTCGTCGTCGTCGTCGTCGTCGTCGTCGTCGTCGTCGTCGTCGTCGAGGTCGGGGGGTGGGGACGTTCTGCCAACGCCGCGTAACTCCGCGCGCGCGCCTCCATCTGTACGGGTGAATGTGCTCCTCCTGCTCCTCCACCGCCGCCTCCTCCTCTCTTTCTTCTCCCCTCCGCCCTCCCTATTCTCTCCTTCTTTCCCCTCCCCTTCCCCCTCCTCCTTCTTCGGGGATCTACTGACCCGGGTCAATCCAGACCCGGATCAGTCAGGCTTTGCAAGATCATGCACGATCCTAAACCCCAATCCGGGTCAATGCAACCCTGCCTCTGCAGGATCCTGCAAGATCCGACGCCCTGACTGACCTTTGTTTGCACTGAACCCCGTCCCTTGAGCCCCGAATCCTCCTCCTCCTCCTCCTCCTCCTCCTCCTCCTCCTCCTCCTGCTCCTGCTCCTCCTCTTCCTCCTCCTCCTCCTCCTCCTCCTCCTCCTCCTCCTCCTCCTCCTCCTCCTCCTCCTCCTCCCTCCCCTCCCCCTTTCCCCTTCCCCCTCCCCCTCCCCTCCCCTCCCCCTCCCTCCTCCTCCTCCTCCTCCTCCTCCTCCTCCTCCTCTCCTCCTCCCTCCTCCTCCTCCTCCTCCTCCTCCTCCTCCTCCTCCTCCTCCTCCTCCTCCTCCTCCTCCTCCCTCCTCCTCCTCCTCCTCCTCCTCCTCCTCCTCCTCCTCCCTCCTCCCCCTCCCCTTCCCTCCCCCCTCCCCCTCCCCCTCCCCCTCCCCTCCCCCTCCTCCTCCTCCTCCTCCTCCTCCTCCTCCTCCTCCTCCTCCTCCTCCTCCTCCTGCCCCCTCCTTATCCTGGGTGTGAGTGAGCGGGACGGCCTGCGTGGCCGTCCTTCGGGGCAGCTCGACCCCTCGCCTGACCCCCCCGCCTACGCGCACGCCCCCTGAACCGCAAAACCCAGCAAATGCACCCTCACCGCAAATCCTCCGCCACCCCTCCCTGCCCCGCTGCTGAACGCCCGCGCCCCCCTTACCCCTTTCGGCGGTGGACCAGCCTCCCTTTAGCAAACCTCCCCTTAATGAAGACGGCCCGGGACCGAAACCGACGGACCTGGACCCGCAAAAATGACGGCCGCGACGCCCTCTCGCGAACCGAAAACGGCCAATTCGCTAATCGACGTGTCAGGGTAGGAGGTCTATCCACCTCCGACTGCGCCCCTTCCACGCCTTACCCCTTGCTCCTCCTGCCCTGTGCGCTCATAGATCTCGTGCAACCGAGGGAGGGCGCGAGCATCCGAGGCTCGACGGCGCACCGAGAGGGGAAGCGAGAGGTGCGAGGGCCTTCTCAGGAGAGGGCGGGGCTTCTCAGAAACCCTCCGGCCTTCTGTAGAGTGAAGTCGGGCGTGTCCCCCTACAGGCGAGTGCATTTTTCGGTTTCGTGCGTGCTTTTTTTCCTCGATGGTCCAGGATGGTCCTCGACGGTTCTCGCCGAGAAACAACGCACACGCCCGAGCGATGCCAGGATTCTAGCCAGTTCGAAGGATTCTGGCCAATTCGAAGGCTCTGGGGCCCTACCACTCACTGGGGCACCTTACCCGGGTCCCTGGCCATACCCGGGAGTAGTCGACGAGCCTTCCGGGCAGGCACAGCCGCTCCGCTGGCGCGGCCCCCCGCCTCTCCCCCCCATCCTCCGCGGGCGCGCACGAGGGGAAGCACCTCCTGCCTCCTCCTGCCTCCTCCTCCTCCTGCCTCCTCCTCCTGCCTCCTCCTCCTGCCTCCTCCTCCTCCTCCTCCTGCCTCCTCCTCCTCCTGCCTCTTCCTCCTGCCTCCTCCTCCTGCCTCCTCCTCCTGCCTCCCCCTCCTGTCTCCTCCTGCCTGCCTCCTCCTGCCTCCTCCGCCTTCTCCTCCTCCTCCTCCTCCTCCTCCTCCTCCTCCTCCTCCTTCTCCTCCCTCCTCCCCCTTCTCCCCCTTCTCCTCCGCCCAGTCGTCGTCGGCAGCTAGAGAACCGATCCGCAAGAGGGGCACGACGGTTCTTCCCACTTCAGCGACGCCCAGGGACACATCGCCCCCGCTCGGGAGCGGCCAAGAGGGGGGTGTTCAAGAGGGTGTGTGTGTGTGCACATCATGGCCAGCGGCATGTGCGCGGCCCAGCGGGGGGGACCAGGGACGTAATGAAATAAGAAGAGGCGCCATGAAATCTGAGGAAAAATCATAGCCCGCGCCATGAAATCAACCCCCCCTAAGTCATCACCCCCTTCTTTGCCACCCCCGACCCGCACGCAAAAGAAATATCACCCAATCGAACAAGATCCCCGGACAACCTCCCAGACGACCCAGACGACCCATGCAGATGAAGGGCGACAAGGCGACCCAGCCCGGACAACCCATGGACAGCCCAGCGGGGATCTGGACACCCCTGGACAACCCCCCTTGGACAAGCCTCCCCGGGATGATCTCCCGTGAGGTATGGCAGGGGGGACAGGCTCAGTGGGGAAACCTCGAGCTGGAATCGGCGGTGCCTCGCTCATGGATCGGCGAGGGGCCCCCGAGAGCGAGTCCGCCAATTCCTGGGCGGAGTGGGCTGCCGGGCTCCCGTCGGCGGTGACTGGGCGACGGGGGGTCGATTCGTCGCCCCCGAGCCAACCCGTGGGTCGGGCATGTCCGTCCCCCTACAGGCGGACTTTGGATGAAAAACGACACATGCTCAAAACATGCTGGAACGTTGTCCAAACATGATATAAACATCGTCCACACATCATTTTTGGACCATTTTGGGGTGTTCCTCCTGTAGAGGGACATGCCCGGCTTACACCCCGCGAAATGCTTAAGAAATCATGGGTTAAGAAATTCATAGTCTCAGAACTTGAATAAAAACACAAAATTTCCATTCAAATCTTAGGATTTACATTGAAACATTAAGAATAATCGAGACTCTGGCCTAACATTTAAGTTTTCTTAAGCATCGCCTAAGGTGTACACAACCCCCTCCCCCTGAAAGCTGCCATTGGCTAGAGGGACAGATGAGGCCGGCCCTCGCGTCTTTTTTCTTCCTGGAAGCGCCCGACGCCCGACTCGCCGCCGCAGCTGCCGAGGGCTCAAACGTCCTCGCCCTGCTCCTTCCGGCTGCCTGCGCCGGGGCCCTGCGCGCGCGCATCCTCGCCCCCTCGGGTCGGGCACTGCTCTTGAGCAGGGGCCGACCGTCCCAGCATTCCCATCGTCCTACCACGAAGGGGTCTTAGAACCCCACGAATGTTCTAATCACAAGCACAACCTGTTCTTAGAACATGAACCCGATGTGTTAAACCAAGACGGCCTTCGCCAGAAATGTTCTAAGAGCATTTCGTGGGAACCACAAGGGGTTCTTAGAAAATTATTTGGTGGGGCTATAGTAAGTCGGGCCTGTCCCCCTGCAGGGGGATTTTCGACGAAATTTAAAAAAAAATAGTCTGGGGACTAGTTTTTGAATATGTTTTGACCTTTTTGGGGGTATTTGTGGGGTATGCTTTATTTTTCGTCTAAACCTCCCTGTAGGGGGACAGGCCCGACTTAAGCCTTGTCCAACACCGACTGCGGCCACTGCTGGTTGGCCGGCGGCCTGCTGCCCGAAAGGAACCACCGCCGCCGCGACGCCGCTAGCGACTCCTGTTCCGAATGAGCAACGACTGCTGCTGGGTTCTGTGACCACTGCTTCCGCACCCATGGCGGCCCCCCCGGAAAAAGCCTCCAGCATTCCCCCAAGGAGGCACCCGCGGCCCCCGGAGCACCCCTCACGAGGCCCAGAGTGCCCCAGTGGCTCCAGACCGAACAGTGAAGAGACGCGGGTCTTGCGCGAGATGGCATGGCGACCTTGTGCGGTGGCCCCCGCGGGATGCCGGCGAGGGTCCAGCATTGGAGCAGGGACCGACCGTCCCTGGCATTCCTATAGGCCTACCACAACACGTTCGCGCAACAAAAGAATGTTCCAATACCGCAACAAGGTTCTTAGAACGTCAAGCCGATGCTTCAAAAAACAATCTCGGTCATCGGCCATAGACCTTCTGTGAACGTCAAGCACAAACCACAAGTCGGCGGCGAGCCCAGGGGGGGGAGTGAGAAGGAGAAGGCCTTCTGAGAAAGCTCGGAAGTCACCCAGCCTTCCGAGCAACCCCAGAGCCTTCCCCGAAGACACAGAACACTTCTCTTGAGGCCCAAGGGCTTCTGAGAAGTCCCGCGCCTTCTGGAAAGTCGGGGATGGACAGACCCCCTTTAGTAAAACGTGGTTTAGTGAAAACGACCTGAGGCCCAAACCTGGCGGGCGCAAGCCAGGAAAATAACGGCCACGGCGCCATCTCGAGAACCGAAAACGGACAATTCACTAATCGACGTGTCGCTGTTGGGGGTTCTGTCCACCCCCAAGAGAGGCCCTCTCCTCCTCGCTTCCCCCTCGCTCGCTCGCCACCGAACGACAGGCTCTCGGGACGTTCTCCGGTAGGCCCGTGGGCAGGCTGGGCCGCTCCGCCCCTGCTCGAAGCCCGGACCGAACAGCTGGGAACGCCTTGGGCTTAGGTCGGTCATGTCCCCCCACATGCCGACGCTGAAGATGGAACATAGCAAAACGAAACACAGTCGGGGCGTTGGCCCAAGGAACCCTAAATAAGGAACGAGGCCCCTCCTTTCTCATAAGTTAAGCTTCGATTCCCCGTCGAAAACCTTGGGAAAACCTGAGGCAAGCTGTGAAACAATCAAGGAGCACGGAGCCCCTCCCCAACGAAAAGGGTTCCTTCTTCAAGACCCCTACTGTACAGGCCGACGTTGAAGATGGAACATAGCAAAACGAAATGCCCACAACAGAATCAATCATGGTAGACAAGTCGTCCCCAGGCTACTTTTTGACTATTCTTGAGGACTCCAAATCCCTTATTAATCGACCCCCCCCAAAAAAAAACGGACCCCCCTCCAAATGCGACCTAATATTCTGGACCCCCCAAGGCGCCTGAAAAAACCGGGCCCAGCGGACGATACCTAAAGGGTTTGGAGCATTACTCTGTCGGGCGGCCAAGAGGGGGGCGTCCGAGAGGGAGGGGGGGGGCGCAACTCATGGCCGGCGGCATGTGCGCGGCCCAGGGGGGGGGCCAGGGACGTAATGAGATAAGAGGAGGCGCCGTGAGATCTGGGGAAATACCATGGCCCACGCCATGATATCCGCCTCCCCCTAGCCATCACCCCCCTCTTTGCCGCCCCCGATCCTCCTGTATGGGGACACGCCCGACTCAAACCTTGGGCCCGGGGCGCCCTCCGCCCCCCGAGCGAGGGCCGCGAGCGCGGCGGCTACCCGGGGCCGTGGCGCGGGGCGTCAGGGCCGCGGCCCCGCCTCGTTGAGCAGGTCGCCGTCCGCCCTGAGAGGTGGGACGAGGCCGAGGCGAGGACGCCGATCGGGTGAGGATAGCCATCGAGCACCTCCGAGACCTGGCGGCTCTGGAGGACGTCTTCGAGGGAGCAGCGCAGCCTGCTTCTAAGGAGCCTTCCACGGTCGAAGCCGGGGCGACGCTGGCATCGGGTGAGATAAATATCGATAATCTCCGAGACCTGGCGGCTCTGGAGGTCGTCTTCGAGGGAGCAGCCTGCTTCTAAGGAGCCTTCCAAGGCAAGAAGCCAAGACGAGGAAACACATCGGGTGAGGACAAATCGAGAATCTCTTAGATCTGGCGGCTATGGAAAACATCTCCGGAACGCTCTGAGAGCGCTCCAAAACGCTCTGCGACGGGTTTATCCTCGTCCTGGCCCCGTCCGAAGAGAGGAAGGAAACGCGGCACCAACGTAAAAGTGTTAAGCCTGGCGGCGGGGTCGAGCGCGAACTTCGGGATGGTCACTGCACTCTCTGGAATGATCCCCTTTAAAATCCCTTTTCTCTCGGGGATCTCCTGACCCGGGTCAATCCAGACCCGGGTCAGTCAAACCTTACATAATCCGACAAGATCCTGCAAGATCCTGCACCCAAGCCCGGGCCCAAATCCGAAGGATCCTGCAAGATCCTGCACCCAAACCCAGGTCAGTGCGCCCCTGGCCCTGCAGGATCCTGCAAGATCGGGCGCTCTGGCTGACCCCCGTTCGCATTGACCCCCGTCTCTAGGGGGCAAACAGACATACCTCGCTTTTGACCACCCTCGCTTCCAAGAGGTACCAAGCGATGCCAAATTACGGCCTGCACTGGTCAGGCCGCTTGACGAGGAGGCGCGTGGTATGAATTGGTTTTGCTTTTGGAAACGAAAGCGGGGTACGGCAGGTCCGTGTCGTGCTGACTTCGGCGTTGATTTCTGACACCGCGGGGATCGTTCAACCTTGAACGATCGGCCGTCTCCGCAACGTCCAAATGTTCAACATCGAACGACTCTGGGTCGCCCGCGGCGTTCAAAGTTGAACGCCGCTGGCGGGGCCGCCGCCGGTCGGCACGACGCGAACCTACCGTAGGTAATTCACGCTCTGAGTCTCAAGGCTCCCGATTCTCGGCCACATAGCGGTTGCCGGAGCTCACAGAACCTGTCAGAATGGGGCACTCGCCGTTGCGGGGGCCTCGGGACCCGCTCCGGAGCTTCGGCTGGCTTCCGCAGCTGCCGAGGGCAGCGCGGCCAGAGCAGCGAGCGGGGAGACCCGCATCAATGGGCACGCCCAGACGGTTCGAGCTCACCGCCCATGTCAGGAGGTATGCTTACCCAGCGGTCGGAAGAAGTAGGCAGAAACATGCGGTAGGGAGGCGAAGAAAGTAGATCGGGTTCGGGCCCGCCCAGAGGAGTAACAACACGCAGCAAGAGCAAATCGACCATCGAAGTAGGAAGGCGCTTGAAATGGATTGGGTTCTGGGACTCCAGAAATACCTACTTTTGAGCAGGGGCCGACCGTCCCGGCCTTCCTATAGTCCTACCACGAAATGTTCTTAGAACCCCAAAATGTTCTAATGACGAAAACACAGTTCTTCGGACAGGAACCCGATGTGAGGACAGACTCCGCCAGAAGCGTTCTAAGAGCCTTCCGTGGGAACCACAAAAAGGGTTCTTAGAGAATTGTCTGGTGGGGATATAGGGGAGCCAGGACGCTTCGCCACTGCTTGAGAGTAAATTAGGCTCTGGGGCTCCAATGGGTACCGATGGTTAAAAACACAGAACAAACACAAACAAACAAGCACTGTGTGTGTTTTTTTAGTTTTGTGTGTGTGTGTGTTGTTGTTGCTGCTGCTGCTGCTGTTGCTGTTGCTGTTGCTGTTGCTGTTGCTGTTGCTGTTGCTGTTGCTGTTGCTGTTGTTGCTGTTGTTGTTGTTGTTGTTGTTGTTGTTGTTGTTGTTGTTGTTGTTGGTGTGTGTGTGTGTGTGTGTGTGTGTTTTACCTCCGTGGGCCGTCCACTTCAAGCTGGCCCCGGCCTCCGCTGCTCGTACGCACCTCGCACGCGAAACCTGCCGCGCCGGCTCCCGTGGTCTGTGCAGGCTCCTGCCCCCTTCCCCCCTGGCGCTCTCTTCTTGCCGCCTTCGTGCCTTCCTTCGACCCCGGTGCACCCCACCGCTTGCTGACCTGCGAGGAGGAGGACGAGGAGGAGGAGGAGGAGGAGGAGGTAGGCACTAGCACTTGCCGGGCAACACAAACCCGGGTCGGCCAAGGCTCGGTCGCGAAGCCTGGCTGGCCGCCAAGTAACTGGCTCCCAAACTCGGGTCGAGGGCGTCTTTTCTTGTCACCTCCGTGCATTACTTCGATCCTGGTGCATCCCACCGCTTGCTGACCCGCGTCTGACTGTCTCGGGCCACTTTCGGCGGTGCGAACAAGGGGGGTGGAGGGAGGGGGAGGGCTTCTTAGAAGGAGGCTGCTCCTTAGAAGGCGCCGGCTTTACATCTATAGAGAAGGCCCGCGCCTTCGAAGAAGCAGGGGTGCTTCTAAGAAGCCATCCCCCTTCCACCCACCCCCCCTCTGCGCGTGGCTGGCACCTGGCGCCCGCGTGCTTACGTTTACAGCCAACGTGCTGACATGGGGACGCACTAGCCAGGGTCAACACACGCCCGGGTCGGCCCAGGCCCTGTCTCGAAGCCTGGCTGGCCGCCAAGCAACTAGCTTGAAGTCTGGCGGGTCCCCCTACCGTGGCCCTACAGGCAGATTTCCGACGAAAAATTTTAAGACCCCAACATATCAGAAAATAAACAAAACATGCTCAGAAAATTGTGCCCGGACTACTTTTTAAACTGTTTTTGAAGGTTCCTTGCGTAGAGGGAAAAGCCCGACTTAAAACTGGCTCCCAAACTCGGGTCGAGGGCGGAGGAGGGAGAATCGGTTCCACGTGGCTCCCAAACCCAGGTCGGCCACAAGGGATTGGCTGACCCCCGTTGGCGCTCACCCCTATGACGCGGGCCCCGACTCTGGTTTCGGGTAACAATCCGGCTCCCCCGGACGCTCGGGCCGATCCAGACACCCCTGGAGCGCTTTCGGCGAGGCGCAGCCGCTGAAGGCCTCCCGAGGATGGGCACCGCCGAGAACCGACGAAACTTCCCCAAACTCTCGGCCCTGGAGACCGAACAAATCCTCCTCCGCCTCCTCCCCCTCCTCCTCCTCCTCTTCTTCCTCCTCCTCCATCTCCTCCTCCTCCTCCTCCTCCCCCTCCTCCTCCTCCCCCTCCTCCCCCTCCTCCTCCTCCTCCTCCTCCTCCTCCTCCTCCTCCTCCTCCTCCTCCTCCTCCTCGTCTTCGCCCTCGTCCTCCTCCTCGTCCTCGTCCTCCTCCTCCTCCTCGTCCTCCTCCTCGCCCTCCTCCTCCTTCTCCTCCTCCTCCTCCACCTCCTCCCCCCGATGTTCTTCTTCGACCTGAGGTCCGGGCTGAGGAACGCCAGGGCGGAGGGGTCCTGCCGCAGCGCCTCGCACGCCACCTCTGGAGGCCTCCCGGATGGGGTCGGTGTCGACGGGGTCGGAGGATCGCGCCGCACCGTCGATGCATCACCGATGCATCGTCGATGCATCGGCGACGTCGGCGATGCATCGGCGACGTCGGTGTTGGGAAAATCGGGCTCCACATTGAGCCATATCGCCGATGCATGGGAGCCCATGCCCGTTTGGTTTTCGGGCCGTTCGCGACGATCTGGGCACGCCCGAAACGCTCTCGGCGAGGCGCAACCGCTGGAGAGCATCCCGAGGCCAGAAAACCACGGATAACTTACGAAAGCGCAAGCAAGCCTCGAAACTCGCACCTCGAAATTCGGCGATGCGGCGCGATCCTGTAACTCCATCTTCGGGGGTTGCTGAAGGTGCCCCTGGCCCAGGGTGCCCCCAGCTCTTCGCTCAATTTTGAAGCCCCTGGGGTCCTCTGGGCCTCGTGAGGGGTACTTTTGAGGCCGTGGGGGCCTCCTTTGAAATCCTGGGGGCAGTTTGGGCCAGGGACACTTCTAGCAGCCACCGGCATCTGCTCCGACTCCATCTGGGAGAGCTCGATATGAGGGGAATGATGTCATGATAGGGTTGGCTCAGGATGCGCTGCAATATCTCCAGAATATCAAGTGGCCCTTGCTTCCGCAACCCTGGGGAACATCAGGAAATCAAGGACATCATGGCAATCATTTTTAACGTGTCATTATCACTGCCTTCTGCTGGCGGCGCGCAGAAAAAAAGGGGTAGGGGGAGAGGGGGGAAGGCTTTTTAGAAGGAGGCTGCTTCATGGAAGGCGCCAGCTTTACATCTATAGATGAGGTCTGCGCCTTCTAACAAGCAACCTCCTTCTAAAAAGCCTTCCTGAATCGAAGCCAGGGCGAGGATACCATCCGGTGAGAATAAATCGAAAATCTCCGAGATCTGGCAGCTCTGGAAATTGTCTCGGGCGCTGCAGCCTTCTGAGAGCGTTCCGGAACGCTCTGAGAGCGCTCTGGAACACTCTAGAACGGATTTGTTTCGTCCTAGCCCCGTCCGGCTTCCCTCCCTCTTAATCAGAGGCCTCCTGGATGGGGTCGGAGTAGATGGGGTCGGATGATCGCGCCGCATCGCCGATACACCGGCGATACATCGGCGATGCATCGGCAATGCACCGGCGATGCATCGTCGACGTCGGCGATGCATCGGAAACGTCGACGCGAAGCAAATGGGGCTGCTCATCGAGACGCATCGGCGATGCATCGGCGATGCGGCGCGATCCTCTGACCCCATCTACTCCGACCCCATCCATGAGGCCCAGATAAACTCCCCCTCTGCGCGTGGCTGATTTCACTGTGGGAGAAAACTCAGACCAGACGATGTGTTTTGTGCAAGAGGCCGAGGGCGCTCCGACCGAGGACGCAAGCAGGCTGGGCACAGATTCTGACAGAAGAGCGAAAAGAGAAGGGAGGGGGTGGAGGGAAAGACTTGAGCGAGGTAAACGGCGGCGGATCGCGCACGCTCCCGCAAACGCCTCCTGCAGAGCTAAATGTAGGAGAAAGCTCAGACCAGACGATGTGTTTTGTGCAAGGGGCCGAGGGCATTCCGACCGAGGACGCAAGCATGCTGGGCACAACTTCCGTACCATACACGCTAGCTTGGTTAACTGGCCGAGAGGCCGCCCTTCCCCAAAAGGAAACAACAAAGGCTCAACACGAGGTCATCGCCTTACTGATCCGAGCGACCGAGGCTAAACGGTAGGCGCTGCTGAGCGCCATGTGCGCACCCTCAAAGGCCATTTGCTTCGGCGCGTGGCGGGCTTGGGCCCTTTGGGCTGAGTCCAAATGAGGAAACCCGACGGAGCCTAGATGAAACTTACCTGACTTGTCACATCTACCACGCGGGCATTTTCAGCGACTAGACAGTGTGTCGAGGCCAGAAATATGCCAACCCACGAGGCGCCAAGTGCGATGCATGCGACCCTCGAACATGCAAACATCGAACATGGCTTCGGACGACGCCAACGGTAGAAATCGGGCGAGCGGGTGGCTCCACAACGCACTGCTAACGGGATGCTCTAGGATAGCGGGTACTTTACACTTCGCACACTCTAGGGGGGCTGAAGCAGACGACAAGTTTCAGCATTAGCAGCACTAACACGAGCCTGTACAAAAGGACTAAGGCCTGGGAGCCCTTGGGGCCGAACCGACGACCTGGCAGGGGGCCTGGCGCACGCGGGCCAGGAAGAGAGACCAGGCCGAAACCAGGGCCCCGCAACGCACGAGCAGCGAATCCAGCCGTGGACGACGAGGGAAGCGCCGGGAGCGCCAAGATCGTCGGAAGGGCCGCGGCCAGGGTCCAGGACGACGGTGCCAATGCCCTGTCGACGACAGGCTTTATCAATTCGCTCCAGAGCCGCACCGCGCAGAAGAACAATGAAGCGAGGGATGGCGGAACTGTGGAGGGTCGCCCTCCTGAAATGTCTAGTCAACCGAAGCGCCGCCTGCTGCTCAGCTGGGGGGCGCGCGCCCGCTTCGCCTGCGGCGGGCTCGGTGATGCCAGCGCTGGCGGCGGCAGCGCGCAGCTCCCCGTCGCCGCCATCCGCGAGGTGAGCTCCGCCCCCCGACCGTCCACCGCGGCCCCCAGCGTCGCCGCGTGCTTGGGGGGCGAGGCGATCAGCTGCTGCATGCGCGACCGCTTGGCATAGCGGTCGAGGGGCGCGTCGGCGACCCGCCTCCCGCGATCCTTGACCTCCTTCCTCGAGCGACGGCCCGAGAGGAGATCGTCGGAGGCACCTCCGTGCCTCAGCGCGTAGAGGGTCGAGACGCCGTCCCAAATGCCCAGCTTGACCAGCGCCTCGCGGAAGGCCTGGCGGATCGCTGACGGGGCGAAGCTCCACAGCGGGTCCATCGCAGAGCGGTGCTGCTTCGAGCCCTGGAGGAGGGGCCACAGACAAGGGCCGTGCACGATCACGCACTCGCCCGTGACTCCCGCGTTCCCAGGGCCACCCGTCGACGCGCAGTTGACGATCATGCCCCAGTGCTGATGCCCGTCGGTCGAGCCCTTCCGTGGCTCCAGCAGGCTGCCTGCAACCAGCCGATGCGCCTCGCTCGGCCTCAGGTAGGTATCGAACGCGAGCCTCACGAAGACCGCCTCTGCGAACTTCCTCTCCCCGATGAAGAGGCCGACAACCACCGGCAACGCGAGCCGCGGCATCGGGGGCCGCATCTGCGGCGGCGCCAGGCGGCCCCAGCCCTCGAGGGCCCGCGCGGCCCGAGGCGGGGGCCTGGGCCCCGCCGTCGCGCGCGGCAGCAGGTGGCGAAGGGCTGCCACGGTCATGCGCCCCGTCGCCGCGTCGAGCCCGCCCAGGCAGAGGTTCCCGAAGAAGACCAGCAGGAGTGCGTCCAACGCGGCGGCGCCCCCGAACGACTGACCCGTCCGCGTGCGCCACTGGTGGAAGCGCGCGGCGCGAGCGCGGCATGAGTCCAGCGCCCTCTGCGTCGCAGCCGCGGTCCCCAGCGACGAGGTCTCGCCGGCCAGCAGCCTCGCGACACCTGGGTGGGGGAGGCCTCTCTGGACGTCCAGCGCCAGGTCGCCGCTCTGAGGCCGGACCGACTTTTTCGCCCTCGAAGTCCTTCCACGGCCCCACGAAGAAGCCACCCCGTGGGGGGGCGTCTGCAACGTTGCGCCCACTCGGGGCCCACCGCGCTATGACTCGGATGCCCGTGGCAAGGCTGAGCGCGGCGATCCGTCGAAGGGCGCGCCGCAAATGCTGTGAGCCTGAGCGACCCTTGCCACGAGAAAGAGCCAGGGCCAAATTGTCGACGAGGAATAGAATGCGACGACCATGGTGGCTAGCATTTCGGGCAGCCTGGCGAATCGCGAAGCGCGGTGCCTCCCCCATTCATACTCGAGAATATTGAGACCCTGGCGGCGATGGCGACTTGAGTGGATGATGGCCTAGTCCCTCGACTCGTAAAGCACCGAGGACACCTCGACGAAGTCCGAGCTGGCGATGATCCCCCCATCCCCGAGCAGCACGGCCGATGGCAGCGAGCGCCGAGCGGCAGCAACATGATGACCCGAATCACCCTCTCCTCCTCCGAATGCACGTGATCTCGCGGAGATGGCCTCGGAAACCCTGCGCCTCCATTTCTCTGCAACCCTGCCCGTGGACGGGGCGACGACGGGGCCCAGCATTTTCAAGCGCACTCCTGTCCCATACGGCGAGGCATCAGACGCGTAGAAGTTGCCGGGCCATGGGGCGCGAGCACGCGCCCACATCAGTGGCAGCAGGGCAGCCGCGGCTGAGAGTTCCTGTCGTACTAATGGCCAGAGCTTTGCGGGAGTGGATCCAGCGACTTGGATGAAGCGATCGACCCCACTGAATATTGACAGGCGCTCTCTCCGCGTGATCATGGCCCACGTGGCGCGACCTACAATTGACGCCGTGGCCCCTCGTGAGGCGGAGCCGCGGGCAAGCAAGGCAATGATGGCTCGGCGCAGCCTGGCCAGGCGGTCGGGCCTCGCGCGCAGCCTCCCCGTCTTGCCAGAGAACTGGATGCCCGTGAAGACGCCGTCTCTCTGAGCCTCGGTAAACGGGCAACCCCCATCGGCGCGAGGAGTGTCGCCAGCTCGCGGGCCTTCGAGGTCGCCAACGAGGCTGTCTGAGGCGCGACGCAGAAGTTGTCGACGTACCCTGCCGCCGCCAAGCCAGTCTTGTCGACCAGCGGCTCAGGGGGCGCACCATCAGCCAGGTGGCGACTGGGCTGGATGCCAACGTCAAACATACCGCGCACCAGAGCAGACTGGCACTAGAACAGCACCCAGCTCCACCACATGGGCATGACCCGCACTACGGGCTGCAGAGTGGCGAGGCCGTCGATGCACGTGGCCCCAACCTTCTTCAGCCCGATGAGGCGGTTCGAAATCGGAGGCAGGCGGAAGTAGTCACCGACCTCGCTTGGGGGCGCCATGTGGTAGAAGGCGCGCTGGATGTCGCCCTGGGCCACGAAGATATCGTCCGTCGATTGGGCGCCCAGGCCGACGGCGTCGGCAGCGCCGTGCTCGGAGGAGCCTTGCAATAGGTATTCGCCACCCTCGCGTCGAACACCAAGCGAAGCTTGCCCCCCGACTTCTCGACGAAGACAATCCCGACGGAGTAGGAGGAGGACGGGGAAGACACCGCGGCCCACTCGATCATGGTGGCGCCGCGTCGTCGTTTTTTTTTTTTTTTTTTTTTTTTTTTTTTTTTTTTTTTTTTTTTTTTTTTTTTTTTTTTTTTTTTTTTTTTTTTATATATATATATATATATATATATATATATATATATATATATTTATTTATTTATATATATATATATTATATATTTATTTTTTATATTTTTTATATATATATATATATTCTTTTTTTCTTTTTTTTTGTTTTTTTTAAAAAAAAAACTCAGCATGCTTCCGAGGGATGCGCAGCAGCGGGTCGACAAATGGCCGCTGCGCACGAACTTCGGCATCGGATCTCAGCATGCTCTGCCTCCAACCCCCCAACTGGATGGCATCGGCCTGCTGCGCGACGGAGGGCGCCTGGGCGGGGGGCCCGAGATAGCAGGCCAGGCCGCAAGGGCCTTGTCGTAGGGCCTGACCCGTGAGCTGTTCTGGCAGCCAGGGGTCGCGGCGAGCTCCTCCTCTGCGAGGGATGCTTCACAAAACTGTCGTTGCTCGCTGTAGCCAGCTGGCAACTCAAAACTGCGGCAATGCTCCCGCAGCTCCTCGAACGCGACCTGCCGAGCCAAGGGGCCGCCCGCCGCCCAGCCGCCCGCCGTGGGCCCAGCGGCGCGACCATGGAGCCAGCTGAGAGCCTCCATGCCCTCGTTGCACCACCGGCGCCAAGCCGCGCCACGGGCAGCGCGCTGGCGAGGTCGCCGCCCAGCCGCAACATGCAGCCGAGCGTCGACCTCAAGCAGAGGCAGCGGAAGAGCGCCCCGCTGGCGCTGGTGGGCGGCCCGCGGCAAACCCAAGCCAGGCGGAGGCCCGAGGGGCCCAGGGAAAGACGAGCTGGGCAGCCCTGGGGCTGGCCCCCCCCAGCCCGCGTCTCCAGAGGGCGTCGTGGCGCCCGCGGGGCGCGTTCCCCACGCGCCTTGCGTCGTTCCTTGGACACCGCCGCCTCGTTCTTCATCTGCTCGGCGATGAACTGCATCAGGGCGGGGCAGATGCAGAGGTTGCCCTTCGTCTCACCGATCCCGAGGAAGCGGCCCACCTCGGTTGACAGCGAGTCCTGGCCCTCCGCCTCCTTCTTGCCCTGACCCTTCAGAGCCGCGGCCACCTTGCGCGTCCTCTCGTCGTGCACCCGCTCCCCGATGAGCTGGAGCTGCCGCGCGAGGTACTCGAAGCTGGCCAACTCCGTAATGACCATGTGGTCGTACACCATCGCGGTCTCGATGATGCGGCAGATCGTCTCGTGCTGCTTTGCCGCCTCGTCGTGCTCCGCGATGGCCATGACGGCCAAACACAACCACCGCGTGTGTCACGCCACCGCGCCTCCAGCCATCCTGAGCATGAACGTGAGGACCCACAGCAACGTCCGCGGGCCCAGGACGGGCCAGTCCTCGCGCTCGAGCTCGGTCTGCTCCTTGAACGCGTCACCGAACGAGCGGTCTCGGCGGCCGCGCGAGTCCCGCGTGATCCCGAGGATCCGCGGATCGGCAGCAGGCCCCTCGAGCCCAGGAGGCGTGGCCGTACCACCGATGGCGGCCCCGGCGTCAGCGCCAGGCCTGAGGGCAGCAGCCAGCGCGTCGCCCAAGTGGTCGGCAAGACCAGCAGGGCGCGGGGGGCCTGCCGCGACGGGAGGCGCTGCAGGCACCAGAGGCCCACCGACCGGGGGCAGCGGCACCGCCTGCGGATCACGGAGGCGAAGCATCCCAGGCGCCATCCCGAGCACGTTCCCTTCACCGAAGTGCAAGCTGAAGTCGTCGAAGGGGACGCCGCCAGCGCCTCCAGCAGCGGCAAGGCGCACGGCATCCCATACTTCGGCCGCTGTGGGCAAGCGTCTGAAGCGGTACACGCTAGCCGGCGCCACGCCATCGACGGCAGCACCCTGACCAGCGAGCAGCTTGAGGTCCCGAACGTCCCGAGATGGAGCTTGATCCTCGGGATACACATCGAAGTCAGGCGTCATGATGTAAAGCCCCATGATGGCGAGGCGTTCGTGCCAGATCTCACGGCCTGGGACGTTGAACCTCACGGCGTAGAAGCTGCCAGCGGTCAGCGCCATGGCTTCAGCGCGTGCTCGAAACCCCGAGCCGCGCAGCGCGAGCCTTCTCCGCTGCAGCCCGCTCGAGATCGGCGGACACGTCGTCGGACGAAGTAGCCTGCGGGCTGCCGACGTGCCACGGCGAGCGGAGGCGCCGCGGGAGCCCTGCGCGAAGCCGAGCGTCCAGATCCAGCCGGAGCCCGCTCCGTCGGCCACCGCCGACAGATGCCCCTCGCCCGAGGGGCAGGAGCAGGCAAGGGGCGGGCACGTGAGCGAAGGCTTGCACGTACAAGCGGGGCACGGATCAGCCGCGGCACGCACTATGATTGCAGTCTGAAGGGAGCGGATGATATCAGGCACCGCCTCGGCAACAAAGGCTTGCATCCCCTGAAGGACTTGAGCGAGGTAAACGGCGGCGGATCGCGCATGCTCCCACAAACGCCTCCTGCAGAGCTAAATGGGGCCCTGGGACACACGAGTAAATACACACAACTCCCAGGATCCCCCATCTTTTCCTGTATTTCCTGGCTCTTCGTCTTCCCCCCATTGTCAATATTTTCCATTATTTTTTCCTGGGGATCGACAATGAATTATGTCTGTGTGTTTTTTCCCCTCCTGATGATTTTGCTCCTCCGACTCCATCTAGGAGGCCCCCGATGGGGATCTAGGCCCTTCCCGGATGGTGATGGGGGTCGGTTACCCATCGGTCGGAAGCAGCAGGTAGAAACATGAAGTAGGAAAGCGTTGAAAAGAGATTGCGTGTCCGCCCGCCCCCGAAAGAGGACGGAAAAGGTGAAGCCACTCGATCATTGAAGTAGGAAGGCGCTTAAAAAAGTAGATTGGAATCTGGGACTCCAGAAATACCCACTTTCAACGACCGACCGATGGGTAAACGACACTGACCTTGACACCCCCTCTGCGCGTGGCCGATTTTCCTCCTCCGGCCAGGGGCCTCGCGGTCCGCGCGCGGCGCCTCGGGCGCGAACTGCAGCACGGCGCCGCGTCGGCGCACCGCCTCCAGCCAGAACGACCTGTCCGCCCGCAGCGGCTCCGCGGCGAAGCGCGCCGCGTAGCCGGCGCGCGACACGGCCTGTGGAAACAGAACGCACGCGCACACGCACACAAGCACACCACACACAGACATACACACATAGGCACGCACACTCAGACACACTCGGACACTCACGCACACACACACACAGAACACATTCACACGCACGCACGCACGCACGCACGAACGCTCACACGCACGCGCGCATACACGCACGCACACACACACACACGCACGCACGCACGCACGCACGCACACACACACACACCCACGCAAGCACACACACACACACGCACACACACACGCACACACGCATACACACGCACACGCACACGCACGCACACAAACACACAGGCAGACACACAGACACGCAGACACACACATACACAGACACACAGACACACAGACACACAACACACAACACACCACACACAACGCACACAAAGCACACAATTGCACACAAACGCATACAGACGCACACAAATGCACACAAACGCATACAAATGCACGCAAACGCACACACACACGCACACACACGCACACACACACGCACACAAACGCACACAAACGCACACACGAATGCACACAACCGCACACAAACGCAAACAAACGCACACAAACGTACACAAACGCAAACACACACGCAAACACACACGCAAACACACGCACACAAACGCACACAAACGCACGCAAACGCACACACGCACACACGCACACAAACGCAGCACACACGCGCACACACAGACACACATACACACAAACACACAGACACACAACACACAACACACAACGCACACAAACGACAACGCACACAAACGCACACAAACGCACAAACGCACACAACCACACACAAACGCACACACGCACACACGCACACACGCACACACGCACACACGCATACACACACACACACTCACGCACACGCACACACACACACACGCACACAAACGCACACACAGACACACAACACACAACACACAACACACAACACACAACACACACAACACACAACATACACCACACAACAGACACACAACAGACACACAACACACAACACACAACACACACAACACACAACACACACAACACAAACACACAACACACAACACACAACACACAACACACAACACACAAAACACACACACCACACACAACACACACAGAGACACCCAGACACACATCGAGACACACACACAGACACACACACACACACCCACAGACACACACGCAGACACACACACACACAGACACACACACACAGACACACACACACAGACACACACAGGCACAAACACACAGACACACACACAGACACACACAGACACACACACACACATACACACAACCACACACACAGACACACACACACAGACACACACACACACACACGCACACGCACACGCACATGCACACGCACACGCACACGCACACACAGACGCACACGCACACCCACAAAAAAACGCGCACAACATGCGGAAACAATCGCAATTATACTACCCACATTCGTTGTTGTTGTTTTCGATTGTGCTGTCTTCTCCACGGACCACACAGCACGGCACCCGCAAATCCAACTCGAAATCGCCGCCTGGGGGCTGCCGGTTTCCAGTGGCGGGAGTCCCTGGAACATTGCGAAAACGCAATGGATCTGGTAGGCCCTCCCAGACCGACATGTACCCGGGATGGGTCTTGAGAACACCCCCCAACACAAGACAAAAATGACTGCTTCGGCGCCCTTACAGACGGCTTGGGGCCCCACCACTAGCGGAACATTGTCGTTTCTCCGCGGCACCCGCCGCGCAAAGACGACGACTACTGCGACTACGATGACGACTCCGATTGCAATTACAACTACGACTACGATTACGACTACAATCACGACTACAATCACGATTGGAATCGCGATTACAAACGCGACTACAATCACGCCTGCAACCACAACCACTGATTCCTATTGCAAACCTCACGCGAAGATGCTCACATATCCTCCCGTGTGTGGGGTAGCCCACACTGGACTCTTTTCTGGGAGGAAGAGCCACCAAACACTATCCAGCCCGCCCAACAGTAGAGGGAATATGACTTCCGCCGCGACGACGACGACGACGACGACGACGACGACGACGACGACGACGACGACGACGACGACGACGACTACGATTACGATTACGACTCCGACTGCGATTGCGACTACAACCACGCCCACGATTACGACTACAATCGCGACTACAATCACGATTACAATCGTGATTACAAGCACGACGAATCTGCCCTGGGAGAAAGGACCCCCATCGTTATCCAGCCCGCCCAACAGTAGAGGGAATATGACTTCCGCCAGGACGACGACGACTACGATGACGACCGCGAGGAGGAGCACGAGGATGGCGAGGAGGAGGATCAGGAGGAGGAAGCGGAGGAGGAGCTGGAGTGAGTGGGTGAGTGGGTGTGTGAACGAGGCGCTTCCCAAAGCGGATCCCTGACTGCCCCATGAAAATGAAAGCTGGAAGCCTAGCGTGCAGGATCCTTATCCTTGCCACCGAGGTGACAAGGTCTGGGGACGTCTGGAGCCACTGGGGTCGAATGTCTTAACCCACCCGTTGTCCGAGCGAATCACCGCGCCCTTCGCGCTACGAGTGGAAGTCGTACTGCTACAACTTGTTGGGGAAATACATTGGCGGCACTGGCTGGCTACCCAGTCCGCTCCCTGTTCCTGAAAGCATCTACATGATAAGGAATCCTTGTGTCTCTGGGGGAGGGACATCCAAGAGAGAACAAACTGAAAGACAATCTGGGTTTACTGAACTTGCAAGGGCCCCCGAAACCCACGCGTACGCCTACTGCACAACGCCCTGGTTTCTCATGTGGTAGTCTCCTGAGCCTCAGCATCCACGTCAAAACCTTAGTTTGCTTCGAGTCCAGGAAACGAATGGCCGTCGGATTCGGGGTCCACGCGTCCGAACGAGGGGAGGATGCCAGCCACGATCCCGTCGAACTTCGAAATTTGCTCGTTTTGTCGGGATCAGCGGGTTGCACAAAGATCGACTGATATCCCAAATGCCTTCCTGATGGCCTCCCAGGTCCCCTTGAGGTCGTCGGCATTCGAACCTGCGACGGTTATGGTAGGACCCTGGTCGAGGCCGTCCTGGACCAGACACTTCCCTGACTGACCCTACACTCGCTGTCGGGGCACACGGCTGGCGACGAACACGACGCAAATCTCGACGACGGTTTAATGTGCAACCTGCGTCTAACTCTCAATGCGCTTTTTCAATATACTCATCATCTCGATGCCGGTCTCAACAATTTGGCGAACGCGCAGAGGTAGTCGGACCAGGGCACGAACGGGAGACGAGCAGACTTGAACATGAGACCGACCTCCCTTTCGACCCGCACTTCGTGCGCCATGTGAAGCCCGTCCCCCACCGATGCGCGAGCGCAGCACCCAAGAGACGAGGCACCTGCATGAAGGCCCCTGGTCCGAAGTATTGGATCCGACACTTCACCGAGAACTGTGATGTGTACACGGGTTTCCATGTGGAGCGGTAGCAGTGCCGCCACGGGGCCAACCGGAATATCCCGACCAAACAGACCTCCGGTAAGACACGAGTAGCCTACGGAATCGCGTTGCCCCCGCCGGCCACAGAAGCGAGATCGTTCCGATCCCTCCCAATCTGGAAACTCTGGGAGACCATCAACTCGACTTCTGAATGTGTCCGCCATTCGCAAAGCCCTTCACCATCTCCTCCGTCCCATGTTGCTCAGCATATGCTGTGATGTGGGACTCGATCTTTTGTGCGATGATGACGTGGCAGATGTTACGCATGGCGCACTGCGGTGCTGGCACTCTTGTCTGGGGCACGCCGTCGACACTAGACGAATCGTTCCCGACCGTGGCCTTGGGCGCACTGGGCGGCCGCGTCGACACAGCTTGCGAAGCACGCGGTGCCGCTCGATCCGTCTCGAAATCCCCATTTTCAAGGGGCACAAGGACACGCAAATAAATACACACAAATAGAATGATGCCCCATATTTTCCTGTATTTTCTGTGTTTTTGTCCCCCCCCCACAGCCCATATTTTCCCATATTTTCCTGGGAGTCGACGATTAATTGTGTCTGTGCGTTCCTTTCCCTCCTCACATTTGGCGCAGCAGTGCAAGTTCATCAATGTCACTGCTGGCGGCTGACTCCGCCTGCTGCACATGCTGCGCGACAGCCAACTGCGAGCGCCTGGCGGGGTCGGCGACGACAGCCTACTTGAAAATGCCCCGCTGGAATTCGCTCCCGCGTCCTGGTTCCCCTGTCCTCCTGAACAACCGCCCGGATTTCCGCCGCGGGTCGGTCTCTTCCAAGAGTCCATGCACAGCCGCCAAGGCCTTCGCCGGCCTCCAGACCCTGGCCTGGGAGCGCCAGTCTCCGACTAGCGACGTCCTTGCCCGTGCCTTCGGGCTCCGCGCAGATTCTGCTGCTCCTCGATCCTGGAACGTCTGCAATCTGGGTCCAAGAGACGCCAGCGTCTTTGCGAATTTCTCCCATCCATTCGGCCGTGCTTTGGATCTGTCCTCGAACGTGTCTCCAGCGCAAATCAAATCTGAACCTTCGGGCACAGGTTGCCCAAGCGCCACGGCCTGAGCGGCCCCGTCCTCGAAGCGCCCGTCGGGGGGAAGGCGGCTGAACGAAGTGCTCTTCGCGAGCGTCTGGTTCGCAGAGCTTCGAGTGGCCAGGTCGGCCCCGCAGGGCCTCTCGCGACATTCGCAACTCATCGCGCGTGCATCCGAGCCCCCGCGAATTAAAACAGAGTGCGCTCAAGAGCCTTCACCTGGGCACTGGCGAAGGTGAAAGCGGCCTCCGCGAGCTCGTCGAAACTGGCCGCCGCGCGCGGACTGTCGGCCGCGAAGAGCCCGGAAATTGCCCGGCACTTGCGCTCCAGACCCTCGATGATGGCAGTGCGCCCACCCATCTCGCCGCCCCTTCGTTGAACGTTGGGCGCAGCAATTCATGCATAACTTAATGCGGGCTACTAATTGGTGGCATTCGCCGCCGCTGCC